ACAGGTTTTCACCATGTTGGCTAAGGTGGTCTCAATCTCTTGGTCTCATGATCCACCCACCTTGGCCTCCCAAAGTGTTGGGATTACAGGTGTGAGCTACCACACCCCGCCAATTTTTAAATTTTTAGTAGAGATGGGGTTTCACCATGTTGGCCAGGATGGTCTTGATCTCTTGACCTCATGGTCTGCCTACCTCAGCCTCCCAAAGTGCTAAGATTACAGGCATGAGCCACCACGCTCGGCCTAAAGATATCTTATATCTCAACAACAGGACACTTCAACTCATCTTAAAAATGAGCAAAAGACTTGAACAGAAATTTCACCAAAGGGCTAGGCTCGGTGGCTCACACCTGTAATCCTAGCACGTTTGGAGGCTGAGGCAGATGGATGGCTTAAGCCAAGGAGTTTAAGACCAGCCCGGGCAACAAAGCAACACCCCGTCTCTACGAAAATAATAATAATAAAAGAGGCCAGGTGTGGTGGCTCACGCCTGCAATCCCAGCACTTTGAAAGCCAAGGTTAGCGGATTGCTTGAGCCCAGGAGTTTGTGATCAGCCTGGGCAACATGGTGAAACCCCATCTTTACCAAAAAAACATTAGCTAGGTGTGGTGGCACACGCCTGTAGTCCCAGTTACTCAGGGAGGCTGAGGTTGGAGGATCCCTTGAGTCAAGGAGGTCGAGATTGTAGTGAGCCGTATTTCTGCCACTGCACTCCAGCCTGAGCTACAAACTAAGACCTGTCACCGCCCACCCAAAAAAAAGGGAAAACAAATTATCAAAGGAGCTATCTAAATGTCTTGTAAGTGCATGAAAAGGTTGCTCAGCATACTTCGTCTGCAAGAAAATGCAAATTAAAACTACAATGAGATCATACTACATACCCACTACCATGGTGATAATGGCAATAATAATCAGACAATACCAAATGTTGGCAAGAACGGATGAACTGGAACCCTCATACATAGCTGGTAGGAATGTAAAATGGCATAACCTCTCTGGAAAACCTTAGTAGTTTCTTAAATAAATAAACTAACTTATCATAGGACCCAGCAGTTCCACTTCTAAGAATCTACCCAAGAAAAATGAAAATGCATGTTTTCACAGAGGGACTTGAACCATGAATATTCATTGCAGCCTCGTGGGTCACAACAGCCAAAACGTGGCAGCAATCTGAATATCCAGCAGATGAATGGACACACAACATGGGGATATCCGTACAATGGGTCACTGACTGATAAGAAAGAACAAAGCACTGACATGTGCCACCACATGGGCGAACCTCAAAACATCAGGTGAAGTAAAAGAACCCAGATGCGAGGGGCTGAATATGTTCTTTTTTTTTTTTGAGACGGAGTCTCGCTCTATTTCCCAGGCTGGAGTGCGATGGTGTGATCTCGGCTCACCACAACCTCTGCCTCCCAGATTCAAGTGATCCTCCTGCCTCAGTCTCCTGAGTAGCTGGGATTACAGGCACGCACCACCACGCCCGGCTAATTTTTGTATTTTTAGTAGAGAAGGGGTTTCACCATATTGGCCAGGATGGTCTCGAACTCCTGACCTCATGATCCGCCTGCCTTGGCCTCCCAAAGTGCTAGGATTACAGGCATGAACCACCCAGCCCAGCCAGATGTTCTTGACTTATGATGGGAATATGTTCCCCACAAATCCAAAGGGACTGAAAATACCACAAATCGAAAATGCTTTCAATACACCTGACCTCCTTCCTGGACATCATAGCTCAGCCTAGCCTACCCTACACATGCGCAGACACTTACTGAGTACAATCCTCTAACACAGAGCCTATTTGATCATAAAGTATTGACTTTCTCATGGAATTGACGGAATACTGTACTGAACGTGAAAGCAATGGTGGCTTCTACTGAATGTATGTAGCTTTGCACCACTGTAATGTCAAAAAATCATTATGTTAAACCACTGGGAGTTGGGGACAGTCTCTATTTATACGAAGTTTCCAGAAAAGGTAAATTTATAGGGACAGAAAGCTGATTGGTGACTGCCTGGGGCTGAGGGCAGGAGCAGACATTAATTGCAGACCAGCACCCAGCACTAAGGATGGGTGGGGGTGGGTGGCCCAGCCCCACGTTTACTAACATCATCTAATCTGAATCATAAACTTACAACGAGTGCATTTTTTTTTTTTAAATAAATAAAGGCGGGGCTTTCACCATGTTGGTCAGGCTAGTCTTGAATTCCCAACCTCAGGTGATCTGGCCGCCTTGGCCTTCAACGTGCTTGGATTACAGGCGTGAGCCACCACGCCCGGCCCAACGAGTGCATTCTATGGCAAGACATTTACACCTCAATAAAGCAGCATAACCGAACAGCTGGCCAACGGCCAGGGGAGGTCGTGAGCTTTGTGGATTGAGAGCTCCAGCTCCAGGGCAGAAGGCCGGAAGCCAAAACCAGAGCAAAGTGAGGGCGCGGAGTAATTCACATCCTGGGTAATGAAGAACTGGCCCCATCTGCCCACTCACACAAGAGGGTGCTTCCCCACTCTGCTTTTCCTGCAGGCAAAGAAGTTTCCAGACCAAATAAGGCTGCAGCTTTTGCCATGCTCCCAGCAGTGACTGCAATTCCTTTTAAGTGCCAGGGTTACAACGTGGGCCTGAAACCTCCCAAAAGCAGCTCCATGCCCATCCGCCCACTCCGGGATCCCTCCTGGCAGCTCCAAACCAACCTAGGTAAACAGAGCAGGCCTGCCCTCGGCCCGCCCAGCAGGGGGCGGGGGTGAGCTGTGTCGGGTGCAAGGAAGCCAGGCCGACCCACACTGGGGGACTCACAACTTCCACCAGAAGCTGATGGGCGGGCTCCCAGGGCCTGGGTACTCTCACCTCTGTCTCTGGTAGGAAAGGCCATTTGCTGAACCCCTTCTATGGGTGCATGTGCCATCTCGTCCCTCTCCACTGCTGCTCTGCAAGATGACGAGGGCAGCACGTTTTATAGGCACCAGGCACCGTGCCCAAGGCCTTGTGTTTGATCATTTCATCTTCACAGCTACCCTGAGACAGGTCCTGCTACTTCCCCATTTTACAGAGGAGGAAACTGAGGCCCCAAGGCATACAGCACATCCCAAGTAAACTTGGAAGCAAACCCCAGGGCTGGCAGGGGTTCCCCCCGGGCCCACTGCCCTGCCCAGCATCCCCGGAAAGCACACTTCAGGGCTGCCTCAGGGGGGCCCACAGTGGGAGGTGGGCAGTTCTCACTGGAAGGGAGTCCTCAGCTCCTCGAGGTTCTGTGGGCTATGGACTGCAGCTACTGTCAGCAGGACCACACCCGCTGGCCAGGGACACGTTTGGCTTACGGTATTTTTCCCTTTTTTTTTTTTTTTTCCTTTTTTTGGACTACCCCGTCCAGGCCAAACTGTAGGGTATTTTTCAAACAACCAGCTACAAACATTTTCCGAACAAGGTCTCCTGGGATGAGAAATGGAAACTTTTTGTGTTGCAACCTTCGGCCCTGGCATTTTAACAATGCGCTACCCAGGGCTGCGGTGGTCAGCGGTGGAAGGGAGAGCGCTCCGTGCAGGGGGCTGCGCGGCACAGCTGGGGGACCACAAACCCGGACCCAGGCCCTGCAAGGGCGCGAAACTGCACACTTCACTTCTTCCGCTTCCCAGCACACCTGGCGCCGCAGCAACCGTTCCCGTCCAGCTTCACAGACACACAAACAGGCTCAGAGAGGGGAGGTGACTTGCTGAGGCCACACCTTGGTGGATGGTGGTGCCAGCAGGTGTTCAGACTCAGGTCCCTCCGGTTCCAGAGCTTCCACCCTACAGCTGGCATTGGCTGCCTTCCTCTACTTCCAGTTCCTCCACAGGGCTTGGATTCCAATCCTGCCGTCTCTAAGGAGCAGGGCGACATGAATTCCACGCTGCCTCCATGCTGGGAGAGGTATACCCAATAAGATAGAGAGATGTGGGCATGACTGGGTCAGCAGATTCTTTGGTAGCAAGTGACAAAAACCTAAGGCAGATTTCTTCAGCTAAAAAAGGGGATTTACTAGTTCAGGACAGCAGGAAGAATGGGGTGAAGGTCAGGCATGGCTACATCCAGGTGCTCAAACACTGTCATCAGGTCACTCTCTCACAACCATTTTCGGGTCTCTCTCTCTCTTTGGCCTCCTTCTCTCCTGCAGACAGGCTACCTGGGAGGCAGGGAGTGTGGCTGTTGGCTGTCTCCCTTGAAAAGCCATCTTTCAGCATCCTGTCAATCCTGGGGCAGAACTGTGGTTGGCTGTCTGGATTCTGGCCCATCCCTGAACTCGGTCTCACGGTGGCCAGGGGTTGAAGCTTAGAACCAAAAAGCCAGGGAGCTGAAGTAAGCACCCCTACACCTGCCGCAGCAGGAAGAACACCTCCCTGTGTGCTGTGTCAACCAGGGAGAGCTTCCAGCCGTGCTCCCACCCCCACCCAGAGCATTTATTTACATACACGCCTCCCACAGCGACGGGTCCGCAAGGAGCGTGAGAAACGCAACCCTCTGGCGCCGACCTCTGCCACACCTGATGCAAACTGCAGTAGAGTCCTGGTCCCCTTCCCAAGCAATTCCGTCCAAAAGCCATTTGACAGGAGCAGGCAAGGAAGGCGTCCACGACAGGGGGAGGAGGAGGGGCCCTCGTGGCCCAGGGTGAGGCGTCAGCCCGGGTAGGTGGGGAGACTGGCCCAGCACCGGCAAGAACAGGGCTGCCAAAGCACGCAGGCCTGGCCCGAGCACACGCTAGCTGAATCCGCTGTCTAAGTGGCCTCTGGGGGACAGCCACCTTGGCGCAGGTTGGGGGGCTGAACCTCCCTCCAAAGGCCACCGGGGACATAAAAGGGCATGACAGGGATTTGAGGAGAGAGGGCAGAGCCTGCACCTGGAGTCTGCCATGGGGCGGTCAGAGGAAGAGCGGACTTGAGAGGTCCACAGGGAGGGCACAGCTGCTGAGCAGAACAGGCCGAGGGCGCCCGTTAGGCCTGCAGAGAGACACTGGGACCGTGTACGACGTTTTCATTTAATTTTTAAATAATTTACATCCTCCTGAAACAAAACCCTGAGGCTAAGGTCCATCCGTCTGAAGTTCTCGGAAACAGAAGAGTTGGCAAAGGGCACTGGAGGAGACCAGAGGCTCTGCGTCGGTGAGCGCTGACGGCGCTGATGCCTGGGGGCGTTCCCAGGAAAGCTGCGGGGATGGCCTTCTCGCCTGGTCCCCATGGCAAGGCACAGAGATGAGGGGCTAGCACAGGCCAGAGAGAGGTGCAGAGGCCAGAAAGAGGTGCCCCAGACTCACAGGAGCCATGGGGGGAGGGGAAGGGGAACGCTGCAGTCACCAGTGAACAGCAGACAGAAGGAAAGTGGCCCCAGCAGCTGGCCTCGTGGGAACGTGCAAGCCAAACTCCTGGCGCCCGCCCCAGAACCCGCCTGAGCGCCACTGGCGAGTCTGGTTTCTCGCTTTCTTCCAGCACCCATATCCTGAAGGCCTGAGCCAGCAGGTCATCCGAGGGGTGACTTCAATAGCCTGGGGCCCTGGATATTCCCCAAGGGACTGGAACCCTCCCCAGGATCCAGATGCTGAGACGTGGGATTTGACTGGGAGTGAGGGGAAGGGATACGCGCTTCCGAGCCTCACCTACGCCAGCACTGCTGCCCCCAGGTGCTTTTCTCCACATTGAGACGTCGGAGTCCAAAACCCAACCTTCCCCACAGGCCCCTGTGCTCTTCCATGGCCCTGCTGGAGGCGGAGCGTGGCTGATGGTGTCCTGGGCTGGCACGGAGAGAGCTCCACGGGGCAGGTGAGGATGTGGCCGGTCACGTCCCCCTCTCCTTCCTCCGGCTGGTCCTCTGGCTGCTGAGCTCGCCCAGCTTCTTATCCAGCCTCCTCTGCAGCTGGGCCCTCTTGGCTGGGTCCAGGGACCTGTCCTTGGTCCCACTGCCAGCATACAGGACCCCTTCCCGGCTGATCCTCTGCCGGGCGTGGGCTCGAGCCCTCTCGCCGCAGCCATGGATCTGGGGAGGACACAAGAATCAGTGCTGGGCTCACAGGGGCAGGGAGGCAGACCCTGCAGCTCTGCCTGTCAAAGAGCTGGAGGGCCACCAGCACCCCAACAGAGGACCACTCCTCCCCACCATGTCGATCCTTCACCCTGCAGGCTGCTTGGCAGGAAGGGGGGTGGGTGGCGCGAGAGGGCTCTGCACCCTGGTGTGGCTGGAGGCCGAAGCCCCCCGAGTGCACACTCGGGACACGGCACCACCCTGACTGACCGACCACACAGCTCGGCAACCACTTGTCTGCTGCCGCCCAGCCTCCGTCTAAACCACACTACAGCTAAGAATGGTGACATCACAGCCCTGTCGACACCCTCCAGGGCGCCCCACCGCCTTGAGGACAGGCCTGACTCCTCCAGGCAGCTCACCAGGCCTTGCCCAGCCTCCACTCTAGTCATCCTGCCTCACACTTCTCCCAACTCCCTGACTGTGCCCGGGGCCTTAGGCATGGTCTAAGGGTGAACAGCCTGCCCGCCTACCCGCCATCGCCCTGTCCTCCCCAGCCCAGCTCCCACCTTCTGTCCCATAGGTCTCAGCCCCCGTGTTACTTCCTGCTGCATCTGGGTGGGTGTCCCTACTGCTACCCTGGCCCTGGGTTTCCTTCCTCGGAGCACTCAGCACCTGGTAATGCATGCTGGTCTCTTACTCAGATCCCCCACCAGGCCCAGCATCCTCCAGGGCAGAGACGAGGCTGGCTCAGACCCCAGCTTCCCACAGGCACCCCCACACCAGGCCCGGAGGGTTGCCACCAACCCAGGCTAAGAAGGGAACGACACAGCAGCCAGGCCGCAGCCAGGTCAGCCCACATGCTGGAGCTCTGCCTCCATCTCCCCTATGCCGCGTGGACCAGATTAGGCCACGGGCAGAACCCAGAGACACTGGGACAATTCCGTCTCCCCAGGATACCCAGTAACTAGGCAAGTAAGGCGTCTTGTTTGCTCACGCCCTGAGGTGCTCGAACAGACCACGTGTCCGCGTCTGCTTGCCATTTCTTAAGGTATCTGGAGCTCGCAGAGAGCTAAGTTTCCCATCTGGATGAAGTCTGCCCAGGGTCTGCTCCCTGCAGACGGAACCCACCACCCCTCCCCGCTGTCCGACCCCCAGGAGGGGAGGCCGACATACCTCGGGCAGGTGGTGACTGAGGCAGTAGCGGCGGCCACAGAGATGGCAGAACTGGCCCAGGGTCGTGACACTGGCTGTGCACTTGGCAAAGCCACAAGTGTTATCAGCCTTAATGGCAGCTGAAACCAGGGCTTCGAAGTCCTCCTCTGTGGGCAGCTCTATGGCTGGATGTCCTGGAGAAGACCCGTGTCACTCAGGCAAATGGAAAGATAGCAGTGCCACACCTGGCCCCTCATTTAAGGTAATTTTTTTTTTTTGAGACAGTCTCGCTCTATCGCCCAGGCTGGAGTCTAGTGGCACAATTTCAGCTCACTACAACCTCTTCCTCCCAGGTTCAAGCAATTCTCTAGTCTCGGCCTCCCAAGCAACTGGTACTACAGGCGCACGCCACCACGTCTGGCTAATTTTGTATTTTTAGTAGAGATGGGGTTGCACCATGTTGGCCAGGATGGTCTCGAACTCCTGACCTCATGATCCGCCTGCCTCGGCCTCCCAAAAGGCTAGAATTACAGGCATGAGCCACTGAAGCTGGCCTTCATTTAAGGGTTTAAAAGCAATTCATGGCCGGGCGCGGTGGCTCAAGCCTGTAATCCCAGCATTTTGGGAGGCCGAGGCGGGTGGATCACGAGGTCAAGAGATCGAGACCATCCTGGTCAACATGGTGAAACCCCGTCTCTACTAAAAATACAAAAAATTAGCTGGGCATGGTGGCGCGTGCCTGTAATCCCAGCTACTCAGGAGGCTGAGGCAGGAGAATTGCCTGAACCCAGGAGGCGGAGGTTGCGGTGAGCCGAGATCGCGCCATTGCACTCCAGCCTGGGTAACAAGAGCGAAACTCCGTCTCAAAAAAAAAAGCAATTGTAATCCAAGCTTTTTGGGAGGCTGAGGTGGGAGGACTGCTCGAGGCTGAGAATTCGAAACTGGCCTGGGCAACATAGTGAGACACCATCTCTACTAATCCTAAAAAAAAAAAAATTAAAAGGCAGTTCCCTGTCTCTTCCCTCTGCTACGGCGTCAGTGCCTGGGGGCTATCCTCTAGCACAAAGCAGGGTAGCTGCTCAGGAAAGGTCTGGGGCGTGAATCCCTCTGAGCCCCAGGCTCTGGGAGGCCCCTTTCAAAGCCATTCGCTGTTCTTGTGCAGCTTCATCTGCAGGAACTAAATGGATCAGTGGCAGCAGGAATTCCTGCCTGGTCTTGCTGAGGAAAAAAACGGCAGTAGCAGGAGCTCCCCCCAGACTGACCAGGTCTACAGGCTCTGCCAGCATACGCCTGGCCAACTCCCAGTGCACGGCTGGCCAGCACCAGCAGGGTGGGCACCACGCAGGGTACAGCAAACGGAGCAGAGCCCACCCTGGACTCCACACGGCCCAGAGGCGAGAATGGTTTTGTCTGAGCCGGCCCCTGTGGTTCTGAGCATTTTGCCCAGGACAACTTCCAGACAGAACGCACCCTGTTGCTGTGCAAGACCCCACCCTCCAGGGCCACCCGTGATTCGGGAACCCGTGATTGCCCCATTCCGAGGGGCTCCAGGGACTGTCCACCTTTGCTCTCCCAGGCCCCTTGCGTTGCCTGCTTGCAGAGCCCTTCACAGGCTCTGGGACAAGAAGGTGCCTGTGACCTGATCCCTGACCCAAGGGAGCCCAGACCGAGCTGGGAGTCACATGACTGAAAATAAAGCTAAAATGACACACGCGTGGCCCTGCCAGGAGGAAGCCCTTCCATTGATGGTGGCAGGTGAGTTCCAAGTGGGGCCAGCACCCCAGTCAAGGGACACTGCCCCACGTTCTCATTAGTTGACTTACCTTTGGCTTTTTTCTTTTTCTTTTCTGGAAGTTTCTGCTGCCCCGAGGCCTGCTGCTCCTTGCTGGAGGGCTGCCCCTGTGAGCCCCTGACCCTCTGCAGTCTCTCCAGGTGCAGCGTCCTCAGGTCTGGCTGCTCTGGGCCATGCTGCTCCCTGGGAGGCTGCTTCGTCTGCACAGGGCTAGGGGGCACCGGCTGGAGAGGGGCTGGGCCGCCAGTCCCGGCCAGGAATCCCAAGGCTGCTGGGGGTTCCGGATCTGCTGGGGGTCTTGGAACTGCTGGGGGTCGTGGGGCTGGCAGGGCCCTCTTGCTCACGGTGATGAACCTCCTCTTCCCTTCCCCAGAGCTGTCATGCCTCAGCCCATGCTCCTCAGCTATTTGGTGGACCCGCAGCCTGTCGTGAGAATTGAGGGAAGGAGGAAACTCCAACTGCATCTTCTCACTGGCCATGAACTCTGCTATCAAGGCCCGGAAGTGGTCCATGCCATCTTGGCTCTCCACTCCCTCTGGGCTGCCTCCAGTGAGACTCGGCTGAGATGGGGCTTCTGGGCCCAGAAGCTTCCCAGCCGGCTTCTTCCGGCCGCGTCTGGCAGCTGCTGCAGCCTCCTGGCCTCCCTCCTGCCACTGACTTCCGTTCCTGGCGGATGCAGCAGAACCCTGGGTCTTGGTGGCGACGTGGCTGGGACCCTGGGAGCTCTCGTGGGAATAGTTTTCTGGGACGATATCATCAAGATACTCAAAGGCCGTGCGTACTTCCCCATGCTGGGTGAAATACTCCACCAGGGTCTTCAAAAATGCATGGTTGTTGACGGTACGGGAGTCACAGATGACCGCCACATGGCGCCGGGCACGGGTGACAGCCACATTGATCCTCCGGTCCTCAGCAAGAAAACCAACCTCACCTACAAAGGGCCAGAGGGGAGTGAGAGGCAGGTCTCAGAATAAGAAAGTCAGGCTCCTACGTCCTTTTCAGTAACCACCACCAAAAGTGTGGCCCCTGCGCAGTGGCCCACCCTCCACACGGCTGCCCAACCACGCATGGCACCATGATGCCACATCTGCCCTGGTATCTGGCTGCTGCAGCTGACCAAGTAGGGCTCTGGGGAACCCGACTGGGTTCTATTGCTCCGCTCCTTCTGCCTAAGCCCAGCCTCAGAGGCTGCCTGGGGTGTGGCTACAGCTGGCACCCAGGAGAAGGCACAAGAAACCTTCCAGCACCTTCCCGTCTTTTCTCCACAGCTTATAGCCAGGCTTCATCTGCTTTCTGCCCTCTGAGAACGTCTCACAAAACCCGTCCACGAAACCTGTTTCTGGGAACAACTCTCATCCCGAATGGAGAGCCCACAAACCACAGCAGCACAGAGGCCACAGCACGACCGCCACACCCTGCGGCGCTGCGCACTGAGGCTAAGAGCCAGCTCGGGCGGGACGGGGCTCCGCCTCCTCAGCAGGGCATCCTGGCCATTCCCAGCCCACCTTGCACCCCCAGCTGCCACCCCTGCCACTTGCTCCCTGACCGCACGCCCACGCCTCTGAGCCTCTGCAGTCTGTCTCCTCTGCTGTGCCTGATGTGGGCTTCCTGAGGACAGGAGCTGCTCCACGCTCACACTGCCAGCAACCAGTGTGGCACCAGCAGATACCCAATGTGCCCCTGAATCAATAAATTCACTTCTGCGCTGTCCCCAAAGGACTCCGACAAGGGTCCGTACCTTTCCTGTTGGACCTGACGAAGGACAGTATCACGGCCTCCTTCTCTCGGCCTTGGAAGCCATCAACAGACTTGATTTCAAGCTCAGGGTACCTATGCGCGAGGCTCTGTCTGAGCAGGTCCACCTGAAACACCAGCCAGATTACGGCCTCCTCACCCCCAATGCCACCGCGCCAAGACCCTGCCCTTCAGCTCAGCACAGGGCCTTGCGCTGCTCAACAGCCAGGACCCAGCAAGGGAGCCGCAGGGGCCCCGTGGGAAAGCCTTCCCGCCCAGCCTCCTCACAGGCACGCACGCAGGACAAACACGACACCCCGTCCCTGGCACTTCAGCATTTCTGTGGGCTCATGACAGCCCTATGTGTGATGCCCACACACCAGGAAGGGGTGATGGTCATTTCCAGAGACCCTCCCCATACTTCAGCAGGTACATTTTTCTACAAAACAAGATCCCGAGGGGAACACAACCTGAGCCAGACCAGCAAGGTTCCAGGCTGAGGCTCCCGCGGGAAATGCTGGAAAAGGCCAGGCTATTCCGCCACGGCTGCCTGTGGAAGGGCTGGGTCCACCCGACGCTGCCGGGGCCACCCAGGAAATCTGGCCAGAAGACGAAGCCAGTGCAGAAGACAGGGGGCACTGGGCAGGACGGGGGGCACTGGGCAGGGAGGGTGGGGCGGGGCAGGAAGATGAACACGGGGGGCCCTGCCCACGTCATCTGGGCCCTGGATCTAGTCACAATGAGGTCAGCCCTAGCCCTGAACTTTCGGTCACCGCGGCCGACAAATCCTCTTTTTCTTTTAGCCTCTCGGTTGTGTGTGAGCCCTGCTGCTCTATAGGGGGAGAAAAGGAGCCCCTCGCACCTGGAGGTTGTACGGCGAGACCACGGCAATGTCACAGGCTGGAACACCGGCGTCCACCAGAGCCTGGATGTGCAGACTAACGAGGCGGACTTCGCCTGGAGGGAAACAAAGGGCTGGTGGGCAGCGCAGGGCACCCTGGGCTGGCATCCACTGCTACCGTGTGTTTTGGGCACCTTTCTATCGTGGCCAGCTGGTCCTGCACTGTGCCCAGGTGGCTGACTTCCCGGGAGCTAATCATCTGTGTGCCGGGCCCCAGGACCAGCCCTGCCCAGCTAACGAATTCCACATCAACAACAAAGGCCTTCTGAGTCTACGGCTGCGCATCCTGTTCAACTCGGAACCGGGGAGACAGCGGTGTCGGCTGAGCGAGGCGTCTTCCCACCGCCAGGCCAGCCAGGTGGAGCTGGACACCATTCAGGGAGGCCGTGACATGCTCTCAGGCGCACCTCGCCAGGAGCGGCCTGCTCACCCTGAGAACACACTGCTGCTCAGTCTCTCGGAGCGTAGAGCTCCAAACCTTTCCTGTTATCAGTAACTCTCTCAGCTCCTCCGGAATTGGGCAATTTAAGCGCCTTTTATTTTTAAAGAGCTTGAGGTATGTTTAAACAAAAAAGCTGGCCATCTCCGAGCGAGCTCACCAGGGTTCCCTTTGGACTGTTCGTCCTCCTCTTCCAGCTCGAACAGCCCGCAGCCGGCGGTGTCCACCAGGAGCAGGGGCACGCCCGTCTCCTCCGTGGCAGCCACACCTGGGAGGTCCCTGGCACACAGGCAGAGGGAGCACATGAGGGAAGCACAGCACAGCACTGAGGCTCCACCTGACAGAACCGACCCTCCCACGAGGAAAGGCAGGGGCGGATGATGGGCACATCAGGGCGTCACATGGGAGGGAGTGGGCCCGAGCCAGCTCTCCAGGGCAAGGCCACGCTCTCTTCCAAAACGCTAGCCTCAGAGTCGACTTTCCCGTGGAAAGCTTCACTTTAACTTGCTGCGTAGACACAGGTGACGCACAGGATTAGCCAGCGGAGATGGATGGGGCAGGGGTTGGGGCCGAGCTACTCACCTCAGGAGGTGCCCCGCCACGGAAGGGTGGGCTGTGAGCTGCCCGAGGTACATGGCTTCCGAGGCCCAGCGCATGATGGCCTGGTGCATACGGTACTGCACGGTCAGCGTCCGCACCACCCGCTCGCCATACTCATCGGCCAGGCGCTCCATCAGACTGAGCGACAGTCCTGCCAGCGCAGCCCTGCGCCCAAGAGGGAGAAACAGGGAAGGCTAGCCTGAGTCCCAGAGTCCAGGCTGCAAACCTCAGGACCCGACTGACCCCTGGGTTCTGACCCAGAAGTCACCAGTGGGTGGGGTCGGCTGAATCACGGCCCCAAAGGTACTTAACATCCAATCGCCAAGACCTGTGAATGTTCCCTGACAAGACAACAGGGACGATGCACCTGAGAAGAAGCTAAGGATGCTGGGATGGGGAGGAGACCTGGATGACCTGGCTGACAACCCAAGGCTCTTTTTGTTTGTTTGTTTTTCCCTGCTGGTTTTCACGACTCAGTTTACCATTGCTTTATGGTCACCTCAGGGAGCTAGATGCCTCGTCAAGCGGCCCGCTTGGTTGGTAAGCAGAGAAATTATTTTCCTTTCTACATGCCATCTACTGACTGGCTTAAAAGTTGTTGCATCTCCGTTCCTAAGAGCTCTGATTTTAATTTGTTTGGGGATAAACCTGTCTCTAGCAGGGAATCTCAGCACTTTATTTCTTTTCAGACCTTTAATCCTAATGCCAGGACCTTAAGCTTCGTAAATTTGTGGCCACTGAAATATCCTCTCTCCACCTGCCAATAACTTCTTAAACACACATTTTTCATGGAGACTGTTACTAGTGAAGCTCTTCTCTGCCCTTTTTTTTCTTTAAAAAAAAAAAGAAGAGAGAAAGAAAGAAAAGGAAAGAATAATAATAATTTAAAAAAGGAATGAAGGAGAGGAAGAAAGAGGAAGAGGAAGAGGGAGAGAGAACAGGGGTGTTGCTTTATTGCCCAGGCTAGAATGCAGTCTAAAAATGGGTATGCCTATAATTGTGCTTAATAATAGAGACATAAAAAAAAAAAAATGAGGGAAGAAAATAATAAGCAGCCAACCAATATTTCATTTAAACCTGTAAATAGGTGTGATGTGATAAGAGTGCATATTTTGTTTATTTAAAGTGGAGAGTTCTATAAATGTTAATTAAATCTACTTGTTCCAGATCTGAGTTCAAGTCCTGGATGTCGTTGTTAATTTTCTGTCTCATTGATCTGTCTAATATTGATGTTGAAGTCTCCCACTATTATTGTGTGGGAGTCTAAGTCTCTTTATGAGTCTTGTATGTCTGGGTATTCCTGTATTGGGTGCGTATATATTCAGGATCTTTAGCTCTTCTTGTTGCATTGATCCTTTTATCATTATGTAATATCCTTCTTTGCTTCTTTTAATCTTTGTTGCTTTAAAGTCTATTTTATCAGCAAAAATGGCAACTCCTGCTTTCTATTTATTTATTTTTGCTTTCCATTTGGTTGGTAAATCTTTCTTCATCCCTTTGTTTTGAGTCTTTGTGTATCCTTGTATGTGAGATGGGTCTGGATGCAGCATACCAATGGGTCTTGGCTTTTTTTTGCCTGTCTGTGTCTTTGGATTGGGGAATTTAGTCGATTTAAATTTAGAATTAATAATAATATATGTGAGTTTAATGCTGCCATTTAATGTTAGCTGGCTCTTTTGCCCATTAGTTGACGTAAACTCTTGATTAGGTTGATGCTCTTTACTTTTTGGTATTTCTCAGAAAGGCCGATACTGGTTGTTCCTTTCTATGTGTAGTGGTTCTTTCAGAAGCTCTTGTAAAGCAGGCCTGGTGGTGATGAAATCTCTGCGTGCTTGCTTGTTCACAAAAGATTTTATTTTTCCTTCACTTTTGAAGTTTAGTTTGGCTGGATGTAAAATTCTGGGTTGAAAGGTCTTTTCTTTAAGGATGTTGAATATTGGCCCCCACTCTCTTCTGGCTTGTAGGGTTTCCGCTGAGAGATCTGCTGTGAGTCGGATAGGCTTCCCTTTGTGGGTAACCTGACCTTTCTCTCTGGCTGCCCTCAGTATTTTCTCCTTCATTTCAACCCTGGTGAATCTGAAGATTATATGCCCTTGAGGTTGGTCTTCTTGAGGAATATCTTAGTGGGGTTCTCTGTATTACCTGGAGTTGAATATTATCCTGCCTTGCGAGGTTGGGAAAGTTTTCCTGAATAATATCCTGAAGCGTATTTTTCAGCTTGGATTGATTCTCTTCATCACATTCAGGTACACCTATCAAACGTAGATTATTAGGTCTTTTCACATAGTCCCATATATCTTGGAGACTTTGCTCGTTCCTTTTTACCTTTTTCTCTAATCTTGTCTTCTCGTTTTACTTCATTAAGGTGGTCTTTGACCTCTGATATCTTTTCTTCTGCTTGATCAATTCGGCTGTTAAAACTTGTGCATACTTCGCAAAGTTCTCGTGTTATGTTTTTCAGCTCCGTTAATTCACTTATTCCTCTCTAAATTGTGTATTCTTGTTAACATTTTGTCAAGCCTTTTTTCGAAGTTCTTAGTTTCTTTGCATTGGGTTAGAACAAGTTCTTTTAATTCCCAGAAGTTTCTTATCATCCACCTTTTAAAGCCTGCTTCTGATAATGGAACACACTTGTTCTCCATCAGGCCTTGTTCCGTTGCTGATGAGGAATTGTGATCCCCTGTAGAGGGAAAGGCGTTCTGATTCTGGTTATTCTGAGCCTTTTCAGCCTGGTTTCTTGCCTTCGCTATAAATGCATCCATCTGTGGTCTTTATAATTACCGTCTTTGTAATTGGGTTTCTGAGTGGACGTCCAACTTGTTGATTCCCAGCGCTAAAATCTGAGCAACCCACTGAGCCGGCCAAAACAACAGTGTTAAGATTGATGGTGCTTTTCTGACTCTGCACCAAGAACCGCCGCACCAAGGCAGCAGCAAACCCGCCTCGCCGGCCACAAGAGTCGCGCTGGCGACCCGTGGGGCTCCTTCGCTGGGAATCTTCTGGTGCATGAGCAACAAAACTTCATCTGAAAGTGTGGCATCCTCTCGTTCTCTGCGCTTTTACTGGGAGCTACAATCCCGAGCTGCTAGTGATCAGCCATCCCCAAGGCTCTTATAAGAGAGGCACAGGAGGGTCAGAGTCAGAGAAGGCCAAGCCAAGGAGAGATGTGAAGACACTGCGCTGCTGGCTTTGTAGATGGAGGAAAGGGCGACTAGTGAAGAAACAGCCTCCAGGACTGGAAAAGACCAGGAAATGGATTTTCCCCTGGACCCTGGTTCCAGAAGAACCAACCCTACCTGCACCTCAACTGTGACCGGGTGAGACTGATTTTGGACAGCTGACCTCCAGAACTGTTGTTTGGTCAGTCTGCTGTTTTCAGCCACTAAGCCTGTGGTCATTTGTCACAGCCACAACAGAGAATGGACACTCCAAAGTGCTCCAGCTGTGAGCAGTCCACTCCCACCAAGAATGGCTGCCCCCACTGGCACTGCCCAGGTGCCAGGCACTGCTGGGTGCACCAGGTGTGGACTCAATCCCTTCATCCTGGTAACAACCTCATGAGGTGGCTACTGTTGATTCCCATGTTACATACAAATAGGGCGAGACAGAGAGGGAAGCCACCAGCCCACAGCTGCCCGACTAGCGAGCTGTAGCGCCGGGACCTGCCCGGGCCGCCTGCTGCCAGAGCCCACCACCTGCACCACTACGGTTCACCAACTCCACCAAAACCCTGGGGCAGTGCCCAGCTCCACTCCAGAGACCCTCCCTCTGGAAACTTCCAAGACCTCTGTGATTAACCCATTTTTCACAAAGATCTCTACTAAACATAATTAATGCCAACAGAGCAAGGACAGGAAGTGATGATCAGTACCAACTGCAAACCAAACCCAAAACCCAGCACAACGCCACCCAACGTTCCTCCAAAACCATCCTACTCTCTCCAGGGCCCCTGCCCCAGGGCACAGTTCCAAACCTTCTCCACCCAAAGGCTTTCCAGAGGACCAAGCCCTCCGTGAGGGACGTCTGGAGAACGTCTCCCTGGGAGCCACCACGGAGGAAGCGGACTCCCACGCCTGTCCTCCCTGCTCCGAGGGCGCTGTCACCCTGCCGGTTGCGGCAGGGAAACGTGGCTGTGGCTGCACACTCCATGGAGCCAGTAGGAGCCCTGCCCCTTCTGAGTTTGGGCGGAAGCTCTCCCAGCAGCAATTGCAGCTGCAGACCCAGGCCCCTGCCCCAGGAGGATGGGGCTACAGCTACCCAAACTGCAGCTGTAGATCCAAGCCTCCCTGTACTCTGGGGTGAGCCAGGAACAGCCAGGATTTGCCCTCCCAGGTGTAGCAGCAGCCACTAGACTTGTGGCTGCAGACCTGGGCCTCCAGCTCCATGAAGCAGGCAGGTGCCAGGAACATGAGGGAGCTCTGCCTCCTCCGAGCTGGGGGCAGCAGGAGCTCCTGGGTGCAGCCGTGGCTGCCCTCCCACTCTGCAGCTTGCACCCTCAGGCTCCCCAGGAAGGACCTCCCTGCCGTCCCTGCAGACTCAGGGGTGTCTGCTCCCACTGCCTGGCCTCTCTTGGCTCCCAGCCCCCATTCCGATCTCAGAGCTGGGTTGGTGCCAAGCCCCGAAACCATAAATGGCAGCAGGAGATAGATGGAGTCTCGGGTAGAAGCAAGTGGTGGAAGGCCAGGAGGGCCTGAAGGCTGGGGGCCAGGCTGCCAGTCCTGCGGGCCAGACTGGGGACTCCTGGTGCCTCTTCCAGGCCTGCCCATGGCCACCCACGGGCCAACTGGCACACACTTCCTTCCCTCTGAGACGTATAAAAGCCTCGGGCTCAGCCAGAGAAGGCGAGAAGATGGCCAGAGGATGGAGAGGGCAGAGACATGACAGCGCAGAGAGGAGCTACGTTCTCTGCTGAGAGTTTCAGAGACCTGCAGGGACGTCTAGACTACTTGCCTACAGAGAGCAGCCAGCCTTCTCCAGGGCCTCCTCTCTGCGGAGAGCTGAACACTCGATGGGATACCCACGCCTCTGAGCTGTTCTAACACTAAATAAAACTCTCTTCACCCTTCGCTTGTCTGCGGACCTCATTCTTCCGGATGCAGGACAAGAACTGGGGCAAAGGTGCTGCAGCCACAGAGGTTTCTAGCCAGAAAAATTGACACCCAGAG